AAATACGAAATGCGATCGTAACCGTCAGATCGGCCCAGATTCAATCTAGGCCGTTGGCTGACATTGTAGCTGTTAGCCTCGGCTAACAGATCAGTCGATATATATATATATATATATATATATATGGTTTTATAGTAACATAATGAGACAAGCTTAAAAATCATACTAGGGCCATTTGTTTGATCCTAATTTTTAGACATACCCCTTTCCATTCTAATGAACAATTAAAAAATTTTAAATGCACCCCGGAAAGTATTTTTTTTAACCCAATTAACATAGGTTATCTTTTTGGTGAGACGTTTAGATCTAGGCCAAGTTTTTTTTCCTTTCCAAATTTTGTAGATGGAGTTACTATCATTAAATGAATAATGTTAAAAAAAATAATAATTGATTTTGAGTTCATAAAGGTCTAGATCTTAAAGTTCAGCAAATGAAAGGTCTGGATTCATTGCTTGAGAGGGACTCATATTGACCACATCTAAGGTACAAACTATATTTTTCTAGGCTTGAATATTGGGATGAAAAGAGCGGATAAGCAAAATTTTGTTGTTTTATTATATTTACAATAACACAGTAGCATGAAATCACTCCCTCCAGCCAAATCCTCGCATTTAACATTATGAGCATTGCTTTGTAAGTTTCATTTTACTTAGTTACCTCTTAAGAACATATACTACACTATAACCAACTGCCCCGTTTAGGAGAGGAAACCTTGAACAAACAAAAGCATTTGGGTAATTTAGTACACCTAAGTGGCCACAGCAACTGACAAGAAAATCCCTTCTTGTCCAGGGCTAGCAACATGCAACTCATTATTTTCATTGAAAAACCTCAATCCATTTTACTAACTTTGAGCAATTGGGGTATTTTGTCATTTTATCAGGCCCCCCAAGTGGGCTGAATTACCAAAATGCCCTGCTCATTCAGGATTCCCAACACTGAACTTGGGCAATTTGATTATTTTTTACCATAATTTTTAAGAAGCACTTGAGTGAATGAAACTTAAAAAGCAAGACTCCCAATATTAAATGGGATAATTTGACACAATTTTTTATTTTGTAGGCTAAGTTCCTTTAATACACACACCCCTAGCCTCCTAAAACAACCTCCCCTTCTAATCAAATTACCAAATTCAAGAATATATAATTAAAAATAAAAATAAAAAAGAAAAAGGTCTCAAAGCTCCACAGCATCTAGAATCCAATCTCTCTCTCTCTCTCTCTCTCTCTCTCTCACATTGGCCTGTTGTGTATTTACAAACCCCTGCCGAGTTCCTCTATTATTTCTTATCGGCCTACTACATATTTACAAATAATCCCCACCCCCTTTCGTCCAATCATTTGAAATTCTGTGACAGTTCAGCTCAACGCAGTTTCTGATTAATATAAAGGATTTGTTTTCATATGGTTTATGAAAAGCGGATACAAAATTTAGAATGCTTCCTAAGACTTTTTCTCAAATGCTTTGAGATGGGAACAGGTTCCAGGGTTACCATGGCTAAAACTAAGATGAAGGAGGTTGCACTTCAGCCCCAGGTCCTCTCTTCTCTAGATGACTGAATGTGTTGCACAGTGGAAGACTTGCCCCTCCACTTACTTGGGTTTGGCACTTTGTACTGGGAAACAGCCAATGGAGCCACATTGTTGACAAATTTGATCGCAGACTGGCCGGCTTGAAGAGCAGATATCTCTCCCCTGCAAGTCGCTTCACTCTAATTAAGGCTACCCTCACAAATAATCCTATTTTTCAGATGTCCCTCTTCCTCATGGGTGGTGGACCACCTAAAACAACTCATGAGGAACTTGCTCTGGGATGGGGGGGGGGGGAGGGGGGGACACCTAGAACAACTCATGAGGAATTTGCTCGTGAGCCAGGGGCTTAGGCATCCACAATGTGAGATCCAATAACCTAAGCCTACTCGGCAAATGGTGGTGGACCACCTAGAACAACTCATGAGGAATTTGCTAAGCCTACTTGGCAAATGGTGGCGGTGCTTTACTACGCAGGAAAACCACCTCTGACAGGAGGTAGTTCGCCATAAATACTGTTGTGGTGACGATACTTGGCTCCCAGTTGGCAGGGTTGGTCCCAACATTTCGGGGGTATGGAAGTCTTGACTTCACACTCTCCCTCACTTATGCAATATACGCTTCCATCCTCGTTCTGGCCACAAGGTCCTTTTCTGGTCCCACCTATGGTTAGGCCAAGCGCCCCTTAAGGACAGGTTCCCCCATCTCTTTCTAGTCAAACAGTACGTTGGAACCCGAGGCCACTGTAACTGAAAGCTTCCAAACCTTGAGGCACAGAAGAGTCCGGCTTCCTAGATTCCTAAGACCCCTTTTGAACCTAGAGATCCCCGAATTTCTGGCCCTATCCTCCATCCTCCAGTCAACTTGTCTCACTCTCGAGGGGACCGACAAGATTATTTGGCCCCCTGCCACTTCGGGTACCTTCTCTATTTCCTCCTTTTAAGGGCTCCCCAAGGGCCTCCCTCCCCAACCACCCCCACCCCTCTAGTGTGGCCAGAGCCTGGTTTTCCCTCATAGCCCTCCAAGATCCAAATGTTCAACTGGGGCACCTTTTCCAAACGAGCCCTGACACTTGACCAGCTCCAAAGAAGGGGTCTAGAGTTTCCTAATAGATGCACTATGTGTATGGAAGAGGGTGAGACCAACGCCCACCTCTTCATCCACTGCAGCCTGGCAAGCTCTGTGTGGACATTACTTCAACTTCTCGTCTGGATTTAGCTGACCCCGCACTCTATATCCCAAATTATACAGGCTTTCCTCTCCCCACCTTGGTCTAGATATGGCATTTGCCTGTGGTGCGCCTCAGTTGCAATCGTTCTCTGGGTCATTTGGCTGGAGCGCAATAGCCGGATCTTCAAAGGGGAGAATACAACCTTAACAGCCCTACTCGAGAAAGCCAAATTATTGGTTACCTTCTGGGTTAAGAACAATAAACTATTCCAGCACTGCCTCTCTTGGACTTCCACCTTAATTGGAAGAACCTGCTGTACCTTCCGCTCTTCCCTATGGAAACCACCTGATCAAGCTCAACTTCGACGGTTGCTCCCTCGGCAACCCTGGCTCTGCTGGAATAGGGGGCATCTTCAGAGACTCCTGTGGCACCACCCTCCTCTCCTTTTCCCAATTCATTGGCCAAACCAACTCTACAGTGGCCGAAGTTTTAGCCCTTCTCATGGAACTCCACAATCTCAACCCATCTTGGAGTGCAACTCTGATAATAGAGGGTTACTCCAAAAATGTCATTGTCATGGACATCTAAATCGTCCCCCTGCTCTTGGAGATTGGAGAGCAACTTTGATGAAAATTGCCACCTTTGCAGGGATAGGCACTTGGTCTGGCAGCATACCTGGAGGGAAGCCAACACCACAGCCGACGCCCTCTCAGAAGACTTTTGAGCACCTTTTTGAGCTGTAGACCTCACCTTTTCTCCTACCTATGCTTGTAGAGCATTTTTTTTGGACCTCATAAGGGGTTTTTGTATACAAACAGCGAGTCTGTGGATGCCTCAATTTTTGTACATCCATTTCAGCAATGCAACAGTAAACAATTTTGAAAAGAAAAACTTTAAATGCACAAAAACAATGTTATATATGGACAATTAGGTAATTTCCCTAATGAGAAAATCTTCAATGATATGAAAGAGAACTCCAGATCGCTTTTTTTTTAGAAATCTAGTTGACCGCCAAGGCAACAAAATTCCAACAAATATGTTTATGCGAATTAAAGAAGGTATTCCAAAAAAATTTAGAAACAATCAATTGCCATGTGTCATGCTAGTTGCCATGATATGCTCGCTACTCACTAGTAATAAGACATGGCCTAATATCACTCTAATCCAAAGAACAAAGAGTAAAGAAATCCTACAATACCTGCCAAAGTTCCATAGTATATGATCAAAGAAAGGATAGCTAAAGAATAAAGATTAGCTCAAACAATCAATCAACGGTAGGAACCCTAAGGCTTCTCAATTTTCTCTAACAACCTTCTTTCCAACGACAGGTAGGGCATCTCAATCTCCTCTAACAACTTTGTCTCCTAGGAAAACATAATGGGGCTAGGCAGGTCTGGGTATTAGAATACCAGTTACTCTCAAAATATCTGAACCCTCAACACACCTGGCCAGCCAACCCACCCAAGAAAAAACACTTGACTAAGCATTGGGCCAAGACGCCAAGTATGAACTTGGACCATATGTATTACCTGAGCTAAGGAGACCCTCTATCAAGAGACATGGCCCATAATGTTGCCTCTCACCCAGTTCTGTAACAGTATTATAGAAGTCATCAAATATACAGTTTTGAACATCAAGGTGAACGTCGCATTAATAAGTTTTTTGTTTCTTTCCCTTTTCTTTTGGGTGTTTCAGTAAGGGTGGGGGTGGGGGTGGGGGTGAGGCGGTTAAGTCGGCTCGGCTTGCATGATGAAGGTCTTTAACACATCCCAACAAATGGATGTACATTGTTAGAACTCATGGACATGCAGATAAGGTCATTCCTGATCATGGTCATTCATAATAATAACAGTACAGAGATTCACTGGAACTCCAAAATCCAATTCAGAATGAACATAGGATTTCTCCAATAACAAAAATCTATCCCAAAGAGTACAACATAAATAGATATCAATATAGTTATACAAAATGACAAATAGATAAAGCTTTTGCCAAAAGTTAGTGCATAAAAGAGAAGTTGAGCAGTCATCCAAACATACCTTGGATTAGTGGTTAGATGTCCCAAGATCAAAGTCCATAGTATAGTCATATTCAATTGTTGGAATTACAGAAGCCATAAATTTTAAGAACAAAAAAAGGTACCTGCTTAAAAGGAACTATTCATCAGTAATTAATCAATATCACCAGATTATAGAACAGATATTGGATGAACTAAGAAACAGTTTAAAATAAACTCCAATAGAAAATCTTCTAATTCGTTGCCCATTTCTTAGCATCAATCCTTAAGGTGAAAATGACAAGAAAATAGCTAAGACAAACAGAGAAAAACAATTGAAAAGAGAAAGAGAGGGAGAAGGAGAGAGAGTGAGGGAAATAACTGACAAGACTCAATAAGTGAATGAATATACAACCAAAAGAAATTAACCAAATATATTAAAAAAAAATCACTGCAGACAATGCCAAGTTTGGTTCTTGCAAGATTCCAAGATATGTGGAGGCCCAACATCTTCAAGTATTGCACAGTTAAAGAGAAACAAAAGAAATGACAAGACTCAATAAGTGAATGAATATACAACCAAAAAAAATGAACCAAATATATTTAGGAAAAAAAAAACTCACTGCAGACCATGCCAAGTTTGGTTCTTGCATGATTCCAAGTTATGTGAAGGCCAAATATCTTCAAGTATTGTACAGTTAAAGAGAAACAAAAGAAATTACATTAACAGTCCATGCAATTGTGTCTTTCATAGCTTGTAGACTCATTTTCTGCAAAGAAGTGGTCGGGCTATCCTCCCTGCTCACTACCACTTATAATAACTCTCTATTTTGCACTTTTTCTCTCACAAAACATGTTGGAACATTCTAACATGTCATTAAGCCTCTTTCGATAGAGGTTTCAATGAAGGGGCATTTTATCTAGCTTCTTCCCATCTCACAAACTTTTATCCATGTTTCATGGAATCATAGATTTCCATATTTCTAGTTATCAAGTACAAAATTTCAAAACATGTGTTTTTTATGTCATACAGTAATATCTTATATAAGTAAATTAGTTTCCTAATTACAAAATCATGCCCTTCACAATTTGCAAAACTTGTTAAATTGCCATGGTAACCAGATGAAATGCAATTATGCTACTAGAGGTTTTGCTAGAATGTGACTGAAGACTTTGCTCATCCTAGATTGCTTACAGTTCATGTGTTTGGGGCTGAAATAAACCTTCGGATAGAAAATTCAATATCAAAGAAATCAAACTCTAAAACATTCAGAGATACATCTTATTGCATCAGGCATCACAGATTTATCACCATTATAGCTAGCTAATAGCAACATCCATCTAATGTGAATCTCAAGGCCCGGCAGTTATGCTTAGTTATTACTACTAGATAGACATTTTGCAAGTTTTTACTTTTTTCATATTTGGTAAATCAGATTGTAATGTTTTTTGTGCATTAAAATGTCCTACAGCAGGAAGAAAACAGGTATATAAAGAAGAATATAGAACATCTAGGAATCGGGCTTGGGCTTGACAGGTTAACAGTTGATCTATTAGCACTGCTAAATCTCAAGTTCGATTCCTACAGCTGAATTATTCAAAAAAAAAAAGAACATAGAACAGCCACATAACACCTCCCCATGACAAGAGTGTTTCAATAAGTCATTCATCTTTGTATTAGATGATTCCGAAATTTGATTCCCAATTGTTTCTTAGAATTTTCCATAACACACATGATGTGCATAGCATATTGTTTGCATTTCCATGGCATGAGTAGGGTTGAAGAACCAATTCAGCAACCAAAGAAAACGTATTTTAGTGCAAACTAGCAAGGAGAAAGTGATTACTTGTCTACTTCAGGCTCAACTCCACGTGACATTAGAACATCAATGATTTTTTTCATCACAGCTGCATGCTGGCATGGATGTACAGTAACATGGTCCCCAGACATATGAGGATGATTTCCAGGTGTTACCTGAATGAGGAAAAGAAAACACAAAGTAAAAAATAGACCTTGGGAGTGTGCAAGAAATAAATAATCCACAATCCAACATTAGATTTTCGTTCTTTTTTTACCTTAAGTGTTTAACGGTGGGAATGGAGCCCAAGACGTTATGTTGAGGCACCTGCCCCCCCAAACCACCAATGCCCCGACCCCATTCTCTAGCATAATTTTTTTTTATTATGTCATCATATAAAGTATAGAATCCTTATTAAAAAAACGAACTACATTCACAAATTTAGATCAACAAAACAATACACTAGAACCAAAAATTACTTGCAAATATGAACCCATTTTGTAAGTTCTTATCATTGCTTTGAAAAAGGGCCAACCAAGTGCCTAGTTTCCCAAGGGGCCCTAGGCCATTTCCCATAGGCCTGGAGGGGGTCTTTGGCGCTAGTTTGTAGCCTCCCACCCGGCAGGCTATGTGGGCACCCAGGAATTGGGCTCGTATAGCGGGGAGAAGAAAAGAGAAAGCATGTGAGGCATTTTGGGTCTCTTTGACCCATAAAATACAGGAAAAGGGGTTCATTGGGGGTATTCTAAAGTCTAAACCTCAAAATTAGCGAAAACATTGTTTTTACAAAAAAAATTCGAATCAAGAAAACTTGTAGAGTTTGAAGAATCAAACCTCACCCTATCTTATTGGGGTCATTTCCAGGGTGCTAGTGAGGGTATTAGAAGACTTTTAGGATGAGGTCAAGCTGATCGACAACCAAAAAATCAAAGAATAAAGATAGTGGAAAAATGTTAGTTTATAATCTATATTTAAAATTTCTATCTTAGATTTGAAATGTCTTCTTTGGGGTCGAATAGGAGTGGAGGTCCAAGATGAAAATATTGTATTAAACCCAGATAAAAATGATAAAAACAAAGTAACGTGCAACTTTGGTAGTCATGTTTCAAATGCTAGGATAAATAGGTTCAAGAAACATCTTACCAATATAAGGGGCAATGCTGCCCAAGTATAAAAGTTCCCAAGCTTGTGAAGAAAGAGATATTTTAGTACATACGAGCCCAAAAAATAAAAAAAGTAACAACGGAGGATGATGATGGAGGGCATGAGGAGGTGGGCCAGGTCACAATCTCTCAAAGTTCTAAGAGAGGTTTTGGGTAAGAGGCCTCGTATGAAAGGGCCCATTGACGCTTTTTTTACACCTAGCTCCAAGTCCACAATTGAGAAAGTGAAAGGCCAAACGGATACAAGAAGGAAGACCTAGGCATGGTAATTCAATACATTGCTCAGTGGTTTTATCAGGCGGGCATTTCTTTAATATTGTTCGCTTAAGTAGCTTCTAGACAACATTGGAAGCAATTGGCCAACTTGGGCAGGGGTTGAAAGGCCCAACCTCAAATGAGCTTTCAGAGCCACTATTGAAGAAAGCGACCTTTTAGTTCTTTTCTTGTTTACAAGTATAGTTTTTCTAGTATAAAAGATATAGACTTTTATACTTAATACAGTTTTTCTTTAGTCTCTCCAAGTCGAATTTTAAAAATCTTGATGTGTCACGTAGTACTCATGCATTTTTTCGTATAGATGCATGCAACGAGAAGGACTAGGCTTGAGCAAAGGAAGCTCACTGATTTAATATTCATTAAAGGGCATCAGAGGCTTAAGGAGAACTTCAATCAACATGAGAAGAGGGATCCTATCACTTCCAATAACGTGGAGAATGCTACGTAGCGATTGGTTGGAGACTCTGGGACTGAAGAGGTCTTCCCTAGGGAGGGTTTTGACTAGGGATATGGTTGAGGAGGCTCCACGCCCAGCTTCTGATCCTAGAAGGACCACTTGAGCAACAATTGTAGTTGGTAATGCACACAAGATGAGAGGGATAGCAGAGGAGGAAGTAGATTCAAAAGAAACTAAGGAAGATGACCAATATGTTGACGAGGGAGGGTGATGATTCTAATGATGATAGCCTTGATTCAGATGGAGGTGAAAATGACAATGAAGATTATGATAATGAATGAAGATGATTCAAATGGCAGTGCAAGTGATGAAGTATCTGACGATGATTAAATTGTTGATTTGAAGAGTCAAAGATCTCCTCTTTCTTTTCTTTAGTATTTCACAATGTTCGAAAAGTCGGCCGCCTAGGCAGACTTTTTCAAAAAACAACTAGGCGTGGGTAAGGTGGGCAGTATTAGGTGGAAAACTCTACGTATCCGCCTAGGTGGTGTAAAAGGCGGGCGCCTAGGTGTCACCTTGAAAATGTAATAATTAATTTGTGATTATTAATTATTAATTCGTATTTATTAATTTATTGGTAATTATTGATTATTAATTTATCAAAAATACTTTTTGCATGTAATAGTAGTTATTAATTGATTAGTAAACTAAAAGATAGTATTGATTTGTAATTATTAATTTCTCGTAAATGCTTTTCGCATGTGATAATAATTAATTGAATGGTAAACCAAAAAGATAGTATTAATTGGTAGTTATTATATATAATATATACAATAAAATAGGGGGAGGTGTGGGGATCCAACTTTAAGAAAAAGACAATGAAACCACCTTTGGGTCTAAGTGCCTGCCTAGGCAGCCCAGAGCCCTCACCGCCTAGGCAGCCGCCTACGTCTTCTTGCATTGGTATTTCCTATTATCTTTTATTTTACATCATTTTTTATTGGTCTTATTGGACGCTTGAAGTCTATGTGTATGATGATTGTATGCCACTATCGAGTATGGAGAGTTGGAGATTAATACACTATGGATTTGTTTATGCATTTCACTAAAATTTCAATGATTTGAAGTTTTGATCATGTTTCAACATTCATGCACACATGTTTGCATAAAAAAGGTTTTAGTAGATATGAATACAAAAATTATAAAATTGACACAACCATCTGCATATTGGACAGCATATATATGCGTATTTTTTAAAATTTGTCACCTCAGAGCACCTGAGGTTCTGGGTGCTCTCCTACGCACTGGACACACTATGCCAGGCTGCCTAGTTTCTTGAAACATTGGTTCTTACCTAATTACTTTCTTTCAAATAGTGTCTTGAGGCAGTCTAAGCCTGTTTCTTTTCCTGTTTATCAGTACTGGAGGTGTGGAGAGACCCATTGAAGAAACCAAGTATTTCTTTTAAAGATAGTGAATATCAACATAAATAGCAAACAAAAAGTTCACTTCTTTTTTCACGTAAGTGTAACAGATCTGACCTGTGTGTCTACATTGATTTTGACAACTTTTTCAAAATTTCTGGTCTTTACTAAGATCAGATCATTGTTATGTCCAGACTGGCCACTCCAATCTGGTCTTCATAACAGTGGTAAAAAACGGATGGGGAATTTGGGGGCTTTCAAGATTTTCACTTGTTTTATCCTTTTTTCTTTTTTTTTCTAGTTGAGAGTTGAAACCTTTCAAGATTCAAGGCCTCAAGATTGAAAAGCTTGTACAACATGCTAGGGTAGATAGTCATTGGAAAATGGAGCAAGTGATGGATTTCAAGAATGCAAAAATGAACTCTAAAAGGTTGGAGAGCACTGTTGGGGCAGAGTTGAAAAAGCCAAAATGATAATTTTGAAAGTGTTCAGGATGGACCAGCAAGGTGGGGAAACCCTCAAAGGTCAATAAGGTATCTTCATGCGAAGGTTTTTCTCTTTTATCCCAAGAAAATGGAGCCTTGAAAGAATGTTCAGAAGGTGAAGAATACAAGAGAAACCAGGCAAAGATGGGATCCATACATTCAAGGCTTCAAGAAAAAAAAAAATTGTGGTGTTTATGTATTTAAGATGTGAGCATGGTTCTCCAGATCCATTGCATGATTATTAAAATGAACAGATCCAAGGGGGGCTAATTTTTCAATATGAAACAAATCATCATGCCTAATTTAGAAATGAGATAAGGGGGGGGGGGGGGAGCGAGCTTACTGTTTTGCGAGCGTGGTCTTGACTAACATCATCCATAACCGACTTCAGATCCAGAACCCTTCTTGACTGTAGTACGAAAACCCACAAGGTCCTTAGCCCCAGATGATTCAAAATAAAAAATAAAAAATAAAAAATAAAAATATAGCAATTGGAAAAGAAAGTGTCAGTAACCATAACGTCTTTAAACAATACCTGAACAATGACTTAAATAAACACATGAATATATAGTTACATGAATACATATATCCTCCGTACACATGCACGCTTGTGTGTAGTTATGGATATACACAAAATACAATTCATCTTCCAAAAGTAAAACATTTAACTGAAGGAGCCATGTACATGTAGCATGCGCATGTATCTGTATGAATAATTATATATATTAAAGGAGATGCACATGGATATATATTGTGTATACATGCATCCATAAAAGCACAGGCATACATAACCATGCCATCGCACCTACCCACACAGCCACACACACACACAAAGAAAGTTTTATCCAAGCAGAATATGGTTACCCATATTCCTACATTTGAAAATAACATGAATCTAATCTATGCCCAAAAGAGATTAAGATATTACATTCATGAAATGATTTTCCTATTTCACGAAGTAGTATGGCATTGCATACGTAAAGTCAACTACGCCAGCTCAGACCTAAGTCGGCATAAGAAGAGTTCACAAAAGCCTTTCCTATTGCAAATCTGAGCAAGAATGATTATATAGAATCCAAAGGACATATTCCTCACTGGCACTAATATACTTACAGAAAGATATAAACACAAGAGAAAATAGAGACAAGTAATCCAAAGGAACTACATGAAAAGGTATGCTATCAAGAAGCAGTTAAATTGACCTCATCATATCCAGTTAGCCACACCCGAGGAGTTTGATAATATTTGTCATACCTGGAAAAAAACAATAATGGAATTAGAACCATTTGAGACTGCAATAAAATATGTAATAAAAATCCCAGATGATGTAATGAGAATATTATGAACAGGGATTCTGAACAATCAAGAAAGCTCAGTTGCTAGGCAGAAAAATTCTTGACAACATCTTCCAGAGCATCTCAGCCAAATTATGCAAATCCAACATGGACAGAATCAATTTGCACTGATCCAGTTTGAATCAACATGTCAACAACAATCAAGCCGATGTGATGGTACACTACTTTTGAATTACCAACCAAATCGTATGAGCAAGATTCACTACATCAATTCATAATCCAAATCTGAACGTAAATCTCTCATATTTTCCATCCCTAATATTGATAAGAGGCTAACAATTGTATATACTGATGCATATTTTCTATCTAAATATAGTAAACATAGCTCAACCATCCATTGTCGATAATGGAAGGTTTTTTAAGCTTTCCGCTGCCATACACTCAGCAGAGGAGTGGTTCACATCAATTGATTGTCAAGAACATTAGGTGATGTCGGTTCACTATTTGTAAACTGCAATATATCATGATATATTTTTCAAAACTTCAAAGCAACTAAGAATTATCTAAATATTGACAGTTGTTGCTCATTTAAATTCAAATGAAGGTTTGAAAAATTGTTGATCTGGATCGGAATTGCCTAATCCGCATCGGAATCATCCTGAGCAACCCGGATCCTGCAATATATTGAGATTCGGCCGTGTCCCCCCAGAACTGGCCTGGGTGAGCCGGACTGTACTGGTTCTTTGCCAAAGAACCGGATAGTTCCTAATGAACCGGATTTTTTTGACATTTTTTCAATTAAAAAATGTTGTGCCGCCCACCAACTTCACTTACTTTTACAGCTATCATCACGCTTACCTCATGAGCAATAGGCTTTCACACCTATCATCACGCTTACCTCATGAGCAATAGGCTTTTACACATATCATCACACTTACCTCATGAGCAATAGTCTTTTACACTTATCATCATTCTTACCTCATGAGCAATAGGCTTTTATTAGTGACGTGGGGTTCATACTTTTTATGGTGCCATTTTCTCCCACAATCCTCCAACGTGTGACATTGTTTGCTAGCCTTCCAACCTCTACCTCAAAGTTAGACATTTAACACTTTCCATTACATCTCTACATTTCCATTAACATCACTCTCTCTCTTGCTTCTATGTTTCCATTAACATCTCTCTCTCTCTCTCTCTCTCTCTCTCTTCTACATTACCATTAACATCTCTCTCTCTTACATATACAAGGGCAAGTTCATCTACAAAAATGAAATCATCTATTAAATAAAATTTATTTTTCTTTCTTGGATTAATAATATCTAGTTCTTTTTTTATAATTTATAATAAATAAAAGTAAACATATTTTAGTTTTAATTACATATAATTACAAAAATAAATTTCATATAATTAATTTACAAAAATAGTATAATTATATTGAAATTATTATTGTTTATTTATCTTAATATAATTATGTTAAACTTATGTTAGTATAATTATGTGAATATGATTACATTACAATTATGATAATATTATTATGTTGAATAAATATAATTATGCAAAAATTGTTAACTTATTTACTATAATTATGTTAAAATTGTTATTGCTATATTGAAATTTTTATTGTTATAAATACATTAAAACATCACATAATTTAATGTATAAAATTGCCACGTTATTAATAAATTGTTATTGTTATATAGATTATGTTATTATCATATTTAATATAGACTCTAATTTTAAATTAATATATATATATATATATATATATATTACACATATATTAACAAATAACTTATTGTTAACTTGTTATTGTTATAATAACTTATTTTATAGAGCAATAAAAATTCAATATATTTTTAAATGGTATTAAGTTGTTATTGTTCTATAGAATATATCACAAATTGTTCAGACAATTTTGAGGTGTACATGGAACAACTCAATGAATTGTCAAGACATTGTTCATCAAAAAAATTGTCAAGACATTTCAATGAGTAGCATCAACACAATGAAGAGGAAGAACGACGACATGTTTCATCTTGGTACCATGTTGTATTTTAATTGTTGCATGTTCTATTTTAGACCATGTATTTATATCTATGTTGATGTAATGGTCAACAAACCTCCAGACTTGGAAACGTCTCAATATTCACAAAGGTTTACAAAATAATGGAAGTACATAATGCACCACCCCTATTTTTCTTTTTTTTTAAAACCCAAAAAACACTATTTTTATGTATTTTAAGTGATTTTTTGAAAAAGTTTTGAAACCAAAACCAGCCGATTCTCCTATCCGGATTGCTAATCCAACGATCTGACTTGTTTTTTGGGGTCACCAATCGGGGTCACCGATCCGTTATTTTAACCTTGATGATTCAAATAAATGATTCATTTCAAAATACAGTATGAAACCGCTTACCAAAGGTCATGAATACAAAAACTATATATGAAATTAAAAATGCACCTTGTTTGGAAAAAAAAAAAATGATTGAAATGTAATTCCAAGTTGACAACACAAACAGACATCCTTACTAGCATAACTCACAGAGTTTTATGAAAATAAACAGTTCACAATTTCTTATCAGAACATTAATAGTTCAAGATTGAAACTAATGTCTAAGTAAAATACTACATCACTTTCTCAAAAAAAAAATTACAGCATTAATATATATAAAAATTCAATATAATTTTAACATGAAAGTTAAAATAATAGCCCTGTATCGCATTATTTGATAAGGGTTCAAGTCAATCAGATCAAAAGAAGAGGTTTTAGGAATAAATAAATTCAGCTTAGGAGTACTGGCCAAGTGATATCTAGGATATCTAGTGAAAGTCTGCAAATGAATTTTTGTAGCACTCAGAGTTATATGGACTCAAGGTTCAAAAACTCAGCCACTGGGCTGCCTAGGCTGCCAGGGAAGCCTGGGAGGGCCTATTATGCAGCCATGGGCCTAGGTGGTGCCTCGACAGTCCCTGAATCCATCTAATTAAATTAATTTTGGCATGTTGCCATCTTCTCTATGGGTGAATTAAGAATATCACAGGTCGTCAAACTACTCCCCTGAAGAAATAAAGAGGTACCCAATTTTGAGATATTCGAGTTTGAAATAAATTATAGATGATAAAAATATTCAAAGATTTCTATTGTTAATTATTAAAATATTACAGCAGTGCAGATATCCTCAAATTTGCCAAAAACCAATATATAATTCAATAATTATCTATTGACACAATAGGCATTGAGGGGTCTAATGTCAATACTTGGGTAAACCAAAATTTGGTGAGGTTGTGGCGATAGGAAAGGGAGGTTATTTCAAATTTTGAAATGATTGAGAATATCCTACAGCAGTCTCAATTTGAGAGAGCTGTAAAAGAGGCTTATGTAGCACTTTATATGTAGACAGCCGGTTGTTTCTTTTTGGATTGAATAATTTTGGGGGGTTTTGCCCAGAGATCCTTCTTTGCAGTTGGTAGTCCCTGCTCTCCCCAATCCCCACCACTACATGTCCCCTCAAACATCCCTTACTCCTAATGGGTTGTCAAGGAAATTACACACCCGCATCGGCCAGGACCCCTGAGTCTCTGACCATCTAGGCAGCCAAATCCACGTTTTTGCACAGCATATAGACTAATTATTTGATGGTTCCAAAATAAATTAAAAGAATACCTCAAGATTGCAGGGAAGTTATAAATGATAGTCAATTTTTTGAGTCATCCATAAATCACCAAACTCTATTAATCGATATCAATTTTGAAAACTATATAGAGATGCAAGAAGACATTAAACATGCACAAGATAAATGAGAGGAAATGGACCATACGTGATGCTAACATCATATGTCCGAGTTCGTAAAATGGCATCCTCATCAGGTTCGCAAGCAACCATATATGTAGTAGGCAATGTCGCCTGCAAATGAAACAAGCCAAGAAGGAAAACAATAAGAATTTAATATGCAGCAAAATAGGGTCAGCATCTGTTTTTGTGTATATTTAGACAGGATAGCATATCTCTAGTGGAAGTGGAAGCAGAAGCAAAAACCAGGAGAACCTAAGATAAAAAGAGAACATGAAAACAAATATATCTTTTTTTAGAAACTGCATATCACCTTACAGAGGTGAGATACTGCAAATCAGGTTACAAAGGCTAGAAACTGCAAATCAAGTTACAGAGGATCAATGGCAACAAGAAAAAAGCATCTTACAGGATCTGTAACACCTTCAAAGTCTTCATACTCTGCCATGTCTGGAATATCTTCTTCCTCCTCACCACCAAAATGTGAAGAGATTGATTGAATTGTCTTCCTGTTGCTGATTTCCAAGGCATCCAGGGACGGCAAAATTTCCTCATCGGCCTTTGCCTCTAGAATATGGAAAAAATAATTAAGATTACAAAATATGTCAAATCATTTCCCTTCGCTAGTCAAAAGCCTTGATGACAGAATATATACAAAACACCCATACAGACTTTTATTCACCCCCCAAGGCATTGCAATTGAGAACTCCAAATCTCTATCATGTTAGTAAGGTGCTCACATGTGAGCAATGGTCAAAAGCTCGTCTCAGGCTCAGGACTCTGCCACTCCCCCAATTGAGTAACTTGGACAAGTTCCAGTGGACTCTGCCAAGTCATGTACGAGCCCATGAAGGGCTCAAAATTGCGAAATAAATTACAAAAAAAATTCTTTAAAAAAAGTAAAAATTTGAAAGAAGTTATAAACAGCACCAAAAGTCTACAAAAAATGGAAAATATACATGGAAGATGGAATATGGAAAAACATTGGTTTTAGCTTGAAACAATCAAGAAAATCCAAAAAATGGGAAAACTGGAAAAATAGAGCATATAATAAGAGAAACTCATGAATAATCATAAAAAATAAAAATTAAATAAGACCATATTTACACATCATTTATTATCTATTGGTAGGTTGCCGAGGCCGAGGAACTCAGCCAAGCCAAGTCAAGTCGGCCGAGTTTTCGATCAATGCATGTGAGAAACCAAGGTAAGAGAAATAACCTTTTTCCTTGGGCTTCCCATGTGTTGCTAGCCAACCATCATCATCATCATTATCAAGAAGAACTTCTCCTCCTGCCGCCTCATATTCTTCTTCAATTGCACTAGCCCTTCTCAAACAAGGCACTGAAAGTAAACTCAACCATGAATACTATTGAATTGTGCAAACAATTGATGAATAAATGGACGGCCCTAAGCAAGCAAACACATGTGGCCATGCACATGCGCATGTCAAAGTCTAAGCCCATGGACATGGGCTCATGAATATGCATACTCACAAGTTAAAGAGTACAACATGCATATGCTCTGTGTGTGTGTGTGTGCACGTGACCTATTTTACATAAAACACATTTTTTACACAGTTGATTAGGTATATAAATGTCTTATTCAAACTGACAACTCAAATAAACATATTCAAGGTGCAAAAAGCATCCTTACATTCAAAATTACAGATTCTCATAAAGATCAAGTAATAGAAATTGAGATCTGGTCTAAATATCTAATGATTGGATTCTTACCGTTTCTAGTGATTAGAAACTGCTTGTTGGCTGGTAGAAAGGGTTTTCTCTTACTAGAATCACCAGCTTCCCTATACAATGTATCCATAACAAGATAATACTTTAAAAATAGAAAGAAAAATAAAGATACTAATCACACTATAAATTTTCTATGATAAATATAACTTTGAAATATACTACTCCATGAGTAAAACAAAGGCTCACTTCAAATTTAAACACATCAAAAACCACCGATGGGAAGAGATACTTTTGGAATTGGACATCTACGCAAAATTATGCATACTACACTTAACATGTTACATTAATATTAATGAGTGACATGATGTGCTCAAAAATGCAGTTGGTAATCAAACAAGGTCATCCAATATTTTCCTAAGCCCACAACTATCATGGGTGGGGTGGGTGTTTGCTAAATTGAAGAAAGAGGAATTGAAGTGGCTGAAAAAGATTATGAATAGAATTACTACCCCAATTACAAGAAGATGTAAGGATGCATGTGCATTGACCCACAGACACACACATATGAAGCTCTAAGGCAAAGGCTTAGGGAGTACAAGAAGGTGATATAGAGAAAGATGTGAAAGTGGCGTCTGGTAAGATATTGTACTTGCAAAAGAAATCGGTTGTTCAGATTCCCTATCATTCAACAGAATCATTAACATTCATCAAAAGTTATGAGCTTTTGAGGTCAAGAAACAAATTCAGTTAAATCACAAACCATGGCAGATAATTACCACCATACAAATTCTCTCATTTTTTTCCAGCAAAACAATCATATATTTTATCAAATCCACATTAAAACTATGTCTATAATACACAACATTAATATTCCTTTTGGTTTTTGCCCAGCTCTCATTTTGAATTTTAACGGAACTAAATTCCAACAAGTCTTACTTTACACGTACAAACCAAAGAAGCAATGGATCCATCAATATTCATCAAAATATATAAGCTTTGAGTTCAAGAAGGAAGGTTCAGACAAACCACTCTACATTGAATCTACATAACAACCATGTCTATGATATATCATTGGTATCTATTTTTGGTTTCTGCATAGATATAAATTTGAGTATTGGTGGGACTAAATAATAAACAGTCTCACTTTACACACCAAAGAAGCAATGGAACCATCAAGAATCACCAAAAGGTATGAGCATTGAGGTCAAAAAAAGAGAGTCAGCTAAAACACAAATTAGAGAGAGATAATTGCAACCATTAAATTATCTGTTTTTTTTCTTCAAAATAGTCTCACATGATATCAAAATCTGCGTACAAAATATGCCTAATATATAGCACTCAAGTATGTAAAAACAAGTACCCAAATATAAAAAATTCAGGAAAGAAAAAAAACCAGCTACAGTATAAAAAGGTTGTCATTGATGATAAAAAAACATTGATTTTATCCGTTTAGGACAATAATTATGTCATAGAGAAGGAAAACAAAGATGTTTCAACTAAAATATCTTCCAAAAAGAAAGAAAATTAGGATTTTGAGATAATAATTACCAGGACCAGGTGGGGCACTTTGCGACGAGATTATCGCCTGCTAAAACAAATTCATCAACTGAAAGAACACCCTTTTCTTTGAAAGCAGACACTGTTCTAGGAGGAGTGAACCTCTCCATCGCTCCTTTGTAAACCTCGTGAAGCTTCTGAGATAGAACCATAATTTAAGAACCAGAAACCCGATAATTAATAATTCAGAGACCCAACCACCAAAAACCCTAGAATTTCAGAGACCACCGACAACCCTAAAAATCCAGAGACCAAACAAAAAGCCCTAGCAATTCCGAGACACACCAAGACCTCGGGAGTTTAACGAAGAAGAAAGGAGGGAGAGGAGAGAGAGAAAGAGAAAACTTGGTTTTATCAAGAGAAGAATCAAGGAAAAAGTTCGGGAAAGGAGAAGCTTACGCTAATATCCGTTAAATCAATGTTATTAAATATTTTTTTAAAAAAAATATTTGCAATTTTTTATTTTTTAATGGACACGGATTGTATGAGTCCACATAGGAATGAGTTGAGTCTTAAAAATCTATGTTTGAGATGGATTTTCGGATCCAATTTTTAAGGGTGATCAAATATGGAGAGGATTTTCGGAACCAATTTTTAAGGATGATCTAATATGGAGATGATGAATAAAATAAATAAATAAATTTTAAAAAGTAAAAATAATGATTTTGTAAAGAAAATATTTGGAATGTTAGTTTCAATTCTTTTTAGATGGACCACATATTCGCATTCAAGAATAATGCTTTATATTTTGGGACGGGATATTGTAGAAATGTTAAAATTAAAATAAAATAAAAAATAAAAATATTTAATAAATAAAAATAAAATCTATTTACAAATAAAATACATTCAAATACAAATAATAAATTTTATTGTACTTAATAAATATAATTATTAATTATAATAGGTCCGGTTTTCTAATGCCGGACAGTTCTAAGAAGTTGACTTGTCCACACAAGCCCTTACTACTAGTGAAAACCGGGTACGAAATCATTAAAGTGGTAATTAAAATTAAAAATTAATTTTTAAATTTTTATACTTTTAAAAAATAATATTTTAAAAAATATTAAAATTACTCTTGTCCAATAGTATTTCATTAACTTGACCCACCCTGAATTTACTCCTGTTATTTGGTTGAGGCTTCTTAGAAAAGTCAAGTCATTGCGTCATTACAATTCCCCTATTTGTTCAAAGGTTTGAATCTTGAATCGGGGTGATTTGAGCCTTTCGACAGATTCTTTTATGTTTAGAAATTAAAAAGTGCATTCTTTAATAATAATTATAATATTTTGACCCTTTACTGATATTGTTAGCGTTTTGACCCCTTAAATCATAGTTATTTTTATGTACTATCACTTGGATTGTATGCAATACACGTGAGAATGAAATATAAAAAGGGCGCGGTTTGCATAGAGCCAAGGCTCTAAACAATCAAATTAGAGCTCATCTTCAAATAGTGTGGAGAAATATGGTTTTAATATTAGAAATTTTTGTGATAGTCTTAAAATATATTTTTATCTTTAATTATAAAATTTAAAGCTTAAAAAATAGTGCAAACCGAACATATATATGAGAACTTGAAAATCTTGAAAATTGGCTGTCCAAAAATACATTACAATATACACTATTTAAAAAACGTGAAATCCATTTTTTTCTTGTATCCATGCATCTTGATGTTGAGATGATCAATTTGAAGATATTTGAGCAACAAAATAACATTTTCTAGTGAAATTTTTGAGGATTTTTTTTTGGAATGAATCAATCGAACAAATAGATTAGGTTTCCTTTGAATAGTATAAAAAGTACTAAATCTAAGTCCCTTCATAAAGAACAAGTGAGAAACAGGATGGAGTCGTGGTAGTAGCACCCCCATACCTTACTCACCATGTTGTAATTTTCATTTTCACTGATATCACCCTACAAATACCTTCAAAAAAATAAACCCCTAAATTATGTAAAAAATAGGTAGGGCCAGATCTACTGAATTACCCCAAAAAAAAAAAACAAGTCTTTTGTTTTGTTTTTCGAAAAGTACATCCATTTGAGAGGGTTTTAAAGGTAACAAGTATGGCTCCAAAAGTCTTGTCACCCATGAGTACTAGAGCAGATGAAACTAGCTTCTAGAGGGTGCAAGGCAAAAATTGCCCTTAGCATGGAATCTTTGGCCCATCTAAAGAGAACTTGAGACTTCCGATGAGACTTCCTACAAAGTCCCAACTTTGTGACTGACTAGAGCCGGCAACGGGTCAAGCTGAACAAGGCCAAAGTTGGCCAAGCTCAACTGAAACCCCTATAGGGTTAGCCTCGCCTGGAGCCAAAGGGGCCCTAAACCAAGTAATAGATTGACCAAAAAGTAAAAAGATAAAAGAAAACATGAGAGCAATAGATTCTAAAAAACAAAAACGATTAGAACTCGCCCAGGCCTAACCCAGCCCGACCCTCAAGCTGTGATGGCCCACAGAAGTCCGGGCCTTGTGCCATTTTTTGTGGCCCAAGCCCCTAAGTTGCTGGTATGGGAAAGGGAAAGATATGATCAAACTTTCCTTGGGCCATGAAACATTCTAAACGTCATATCAACCCCTTCTAGCAGAACTTCTACTTGTGAGTTATTTTTTTAACTGAAATTTTATCCACCTAAGAATCACGAAACGATCATTTAAAAACAAACAAATGTTAAGCTCCCCAATACTTGGATCTTGCCCTAAAGAATTTGGATCGTCTGTGTTCAACCTTGAGACACTAATATCAAGCATATGGAGTGCCTGATTTGATTTTTTTGCTTTTCTTGAAGTTGGTTGTTGGGTTCAAAGGTTTCTTACCGATATTTCAGGATCCTATAAATACTCTTAGATTGGAGTCTAAATAAACCCTTAACTTGGGTTTTAAGCAAAGTTGTAAATAGGAAATATGCTCCTAAAGGAACTGTAAATCTATCAAAAGATAAAAAGGCATATATATATATATATATATATATATATATATATATATATATATATA